CAAGTTGTTTCAAACTTAGATTGTCTCTGAGTGAGGGATGGTTAAATGACCTTGGAGGGCCACATCCAGCCCCCGGATCTTAGTTTGAGGACCCCTGCTCTAACCCATATAAAAGATGGGGATAACTGTAATTTTTAATTCCACTTCAATACTTAATAGCTTTTTTGCAAGGCACTAATCTACCTAGATTTCTAGTCAAAACAATCTTTGAAACGCCAGTCAGCAATTCTGGACCTGCTCCTGTGACTGTAGGTTTGCCTGACCTATATGTATTTCAAGAGGCATTCCAGGAACACGACAGAATACAAACATATAGGATGTCATTTTCAGTATGCAGTAAAAACAACTGCGGACCTGTCTACGCACTACAGGACTCACAAGTCTGCAATCCTGACTACAAAGTATGGGCAACCAGTTATTAGACATTTTAACTGAAAACGTCACAGCCCCTCTGTTTTGTCTTTCTTTGCAATGGTGATGCCATTTCTTTCAATTACTTTGAATATGAGAGAGAATTTTTGGATCTGCAGACTTAAGACCTTTGCATTGCATGATCTCAATCCAGTAGGTAAAGCAAAATACCATCATCCACTTAAGAATATTGGTAACGGATTATTCTAAAGTACAACCTCAAATTCATAGTATGTTTGTTTTTAGCACACAAAGAAGATGAAAGCTGAAATGTTTTGCTAATTTATTAAGTTATATTTGTTAATCATTGATTTATATGTATACACATGTATATATGTTTGTGCAAGTGTATTGATACATACAACTCTAAAATTAAAATGATGTATTTTGAATGGCTCTTGAAAAAACTACAACTCTCAACATTCCTTAGCCATTTTGCTATCCAGACAACTTGGGTGAAAGACAAAGATCATGCTAGACCAGGCATGGGCAAACCCAGGCCAACGGGCCAGATGCGCCCTTTGGGATTGTTATTCTGACCTCAGCTCCTGGAGCCAGCCACATATCACACCCTCTTCTTGGCAGGAAGATGAGGTAGCCTGACAAGGCTGGGCCAAGGCTGGAGGAGTGACTCCAAGGGTCCACATCTCCCAGTGGCAAGGCAGGCAGGTAGGGAAGGCAGGCTGCAGAGGAGCCAATGAAGGAGAAGGGAGTGAGAAGGAGGAGGAGACTAGGGAGGGAGGAAATGCTGCTGCCAGGCATGCCTTCACTCTCCTCCCTACACTCCTGCCTCGCATTCTCTTTCTTCCCCCCTTCTCTTCCACCTCACACACACACACTCCCCCCCTCCTTTCTGCCTCACTCTCTCTGCTTTCTGCCTTGTGCTCTCTCTCTTCCTCCTTTCTCTTCCGCCTTGCACCTTCTTGCCTCCTTCCTGCCCACATGCCAACCACCCTCTGGCCTCCCCTCACGTCAACCACCCTCACTCCCAATACACCAACTCTTGGCCTCCCCGCCTCCAGCCCAGCCCGGCCTGCGGCCCCCTCTCTAAAAAGTTTGTTCATGCCTGTGGTAGACAGTATTTAACAGGCATCTTTACCAATTAGAAGTATGTATGAGATTTTAGAGTTAAAGGATTTCTCATAATTATTAGACTGAACTACATAAAGTTTTATCAGAATATGGCATTGTTATTGCATGGACAGATAGGGACTTACAACGGAAAATTTAATTAAATACATTGGTTATCTTTTCTGTTGGAAAAAGGTAGCATTTTATGCAACAAATGTGTCATTCCAGGACACATACCTTTATCCTCAAGTTTCATAACACTTATATAAAGAAACACTTAGTGACAATTACCCATGACATCTTTTTTTAAAAAAAATCCTTTAATTTGTGGAGTGGAAGTAATATATTACAATAGCAAGAGAAATATCTTCTGATCTTTCCTTCAATTCAAACTGTAGTTAGTTTCTTTTAATGACTCATTAAAAGAAATATACTCCACTGGCAGCCTCAATGCTGCTCTTAAAAAGCAACGCTGTACATGCCCACCTAGAAGCCAGTCCCACTGCATTCAGTAGGCTGTCCTCTGAATCTTGGTAAGATGTTACAGGATTCCAGTCTCAATAGCTCCTATAGAAAATAACTCTTGTGTTGCTAAAATAATGTTTTATCAAAAGGTATTTTGTGAATTTGTAATCCAATGTAATTTTAATAAACAGTTCATAGAATATTCAGTATAAACTCTGTGGGGCTTTTCTTTAAAAAAAAGTCTTCAGTATAAACTTACACAGATTACACAGCTGCCCTTGTCCTCACAATATATTAGGGCATTTTATTTCAACACGAGACACATATTTTTGTGTCTCCTACAACATTCCTTGTTAGTGAGTTCTCTTTTTAGCATTATGTAGAATCCCAACACACACACACACACACAAGTTTATATAGATATAAAAGTTTCTAAACCTATGTGCCTAACAGACAACTTTTAAATTCACTTCAAACAAGAGCACAAAACATACACAAGCAGGTTGCACAAATTCTAGCAATAGGAAAAGCAGCTGTGTTAGAATGAAATATTTTACCAGTGGGTTTTGCCAAGTGATGTCAGTTATTAAAAAGAATCCCCCCACCCTCATCTACCTGGAAGTGAGCTGCTCCATTCATTTTGTGACCACCACAAGATTGTTGAGAATAACAAAACACTCAGATGGGATATAATGCAGTTTGGTATTAGTCCGTAAAGCATTACTGGTGTCAACATACAGAGCAATTCTAAAAAGTTTCATACCATTGTTATGTTTGATTGGTTCAAGAGCTTTCTGACATGCTGTAAATGTCTGCATGAATCTATATACGGGAGTCCAATATCTTTCTTTCTTTTGCAGAAGTAGAAACTGCCAGTGAGCAAAAATGTGTAGTGAATTTCACTGCAGATACTGTATCATAGAATCATAGAATCAAAGAGTTGAAAGAGACCTCTTGGGCCATCCAGTCCAACCCCCTGCCAAGAAGCAGGAATGTTGCATTCAAATCACCCCTGACAGATGGCCATCCAGCCTCTGTTTAAAAGTTTCCAAAGAAGGAGCCTCCACCACACTCCCGGGCAGAGAGTTCCACTGCTGAACGGCTCTCACAGTCAGGAAGTTCTTCCTCGTGTTCAGATGGAATCTCCTCTCTTGTAGTTTGAAGCCATTGTTCCGCGTCCTAGTCTCCAAGGAAGCAGAAAACAAGCTTGCTCCCTCTTCCCTGTAGCTTCCTCTCACATATTTATACATGGCTATAGGACTGTTACTCATTCTGATGTGAAAAATTACTAAAATTCATCCAGAAACTGAGACATAAAAATAGCAATGTATTTTGCCCCTCAAAGAAAGTTTCTATGCAATTAATTTTGTTATGAAAAAAGATGTAAAAAAACTAATTGCAATTGTTCTCAATTTGTGTAAGCTTGGAAAGCAGGGAGAAAACTTTCAGAATTACTCATTTTGGAGTGCAAGAACAAAATAAGCAAAGATTTCACTCGTTTCCTCCATCCTATCAATGTACTAAAGAAGGAGTTTTTGTCTGTGGGGAAATTTCAGTAGGTCTGTGAGCGTGAATTGGAAAAAAAATCAAATTATGATCTTTATTTTCTCTTACCTCTAATTGAAATCTAGCATTTTCTTCATTTACGAATATATGCAATAAATTACAGTAGTATCTATTTCATATCACATAACAGTTGTTGCATATCTCAAAAATTGATTATGCACATCCATACTTTGAAATTATGGTAGTTGTTGAACCTAATGCAAGATCACACATGATAACAATCCTATAACAATGGTATGTGTACATACCATGTTAAAAATGAAATTGTGAGAAAGTTGTAAAACCTGTACTAACCAGACAGGAAGATTAAGAATCCCTGTACTAAAGGGACAAGAAACACACTGTCTAAAATATCATGGAAACTTGATAAGTAAATAAAGCATTTTCTATTTTATGCCTTCACTTAGGTGCTGAGTATGGACATAGCTGTTTATTAAAGCCTCCAGGCCTAACCAATTTCATTTGAAATGCTTTGCACCTGGTTTTAATTTGATACTTGTTTTAAGATTTTAATACTTAAATATGTCTAAAGTAAATTTAAATTATTTTGTTACATTTTAATGTTATATTGATTTTAATTGTACACCCTTCCCCAAGATCTCATGATATTTAGATGAATAGAAATGTTTCAAAAAATAAATCACATGTTGTAAAAACATCTAAGAGATTTCCTTCTTAAGAGTATACTATGGTTAAAGAAAAGTAAGAAAAATAACAGTGTTTCTACTTATGGGACATTTCAAAGTACTACTTCACCTAAAGATTGAGTTCTCACAGGCAAGTGAGGCTTTCCCTTTCAATTACTAATATAAGAATTCCTTCTACTAAACTTCTTAACTTTTTCCAAAAACAAACCAACAAACCAGAAATTCTTCTAAGCCAGGCTCAGATAAGAATGTTGAACACTTGTAACACAGATCCCTGACTCATTCATCTATGAATCTCTTTCCAACATGGTCTCCTAAGTGGCCAAGAAAAACCTTGCCTCCCTCATTGTTTAACGTAAGAAATACCTGTATTTGCAGCTTATGGCCACTTGTGACTACTTTGGAGTTTTTGTTGATTTTTTGGGTATACTATAAAAAAGGCCTCCAAAATGTCTCATGGTTAAAAAGGAGTTGACAAATGATTAAATTTGTGGTCTTTTTCAGCTTTCTTCCTCTGTGTCTTATCTTTGAGGAAATCACTGCGGTCTATCTATTAATTCATAGTGTTAAAGGAGGAAATGGCTGCAGTATCAGATTGCAGTTTTATGGCGCATTGAGAAGGATTAAAAACACTAAAAAGTCCCCACTAAAAAGGCAAGGAAGATGTCTTTTAAGATGCGAAAACTATATCAAAATAAAATAAGCCATAGGAAGCACATTTTTGTCAAATAAAGAACATCTGAACATTTTTAGCTGATCTTTTATTTGGAAATGACTTTTATTACTTGATGAACAAAGTTAAGATATGTTTGCTTTGAATCAGAGTTAAGTCTAGCATACCTCTGGTCTTACAGGATCTTCTATGCCAACCACACAGATGCAGGTCAGATCAGATAAGATGTCATTTTCACTTTCCCAATCTGGTTCAGGTTCACTAGGGAAGTCTCGATAAGCAACACAGATGGTTCTCAAACCATCACAGGCCATGGGTTCAATCACTTTCTTTACCATCTCATCCCGATCACGTGGTCTGAAGACACGAAGCTCACCAGCTCCATTAAGAATCTTAGAACACCTGGAAGGAAAGATTTCCAAAATCAATTGAACAGCTATAAAATATACTAATGGACAAAGGATAGCAAAGAATAATATGCAGTATTTGGAATATTCAGAATTATAGTTATGGTTAATTAGCACCTTGAATTCTCCTTCTTAAGTGATAGACTTACATTTATGGACAGGATATTTAACCTCTTTTTTGGAACAATCATTATTGGGAAGCCTTGAATAAACATGAAGAAAGACTAGTATATGAAAGTTGCATCAAGCAATTGAAGCATTGATCTGGAACATGGAAGCGCTGAGTCCACATTCCAAGTAAACTCTGCAATATCACTCAAAGGGTTTTAGCAAGCCACTAATAGTATGCCAATCAGTAAATGTAGGAACAATAGTCATAGGTCTGTTTAGGGATTGGTCTGAATATGTAGTAGTTGGGATGTTTGTATCCTGGACATCCCCATATATTCAGCCACATTACAGATCACTGCTTCCAAAGAGTTTCTTTTCAGGTATGTTGTACTGTTTGTTTACCCAAACAACATACTCGAACGTACAACAGCTAATCACCTTTATATTTCTATAAAAAATAGGCAATTGTGACTTTTCCAGATGCTGGCTTCAGAGCTTGAAAAATATGCTGTTTTGGACAAGAGCTCTCAGGATCTCCAAGCCAGTGTGGTCAATAGCACCTGGAGTCTCTGGCCCTTGCTCTAACAATGGAGAAATAACTATGCAAGACTTCTGAGAATTCAATTCAACAACAGTACAACGTGTCAAAGGAAAAAAGGGGGGTGTTGGCAGGACATAACTGCTACCTGCCAGAATGTACTCCTACAAAATAATTGCACTTAAAGGAACAGAGACTGCCATGAACTCAATTTATGTTTTGCATACTTCCTATTTATTTCTAAGGAATTTACTCAGAAGAACATTATTAAATTAAATTATGTGCTGTATATTTTCTTGCTCTATATTGAAGTAGTTTCTTTGTGTGTATATGTATCTGAATGTGGTAATAGGATGTGAACCAATAGAAGCACAAGAACTGGAATCATAGATATAAAGAATTCAGGGACAAATTACAAGTACATACTTCTTTAGGACAATTTCAGAAGCTCCCTTGCTGTACATTCGGAAGCTGTCATCTGGCAATTTGGTGACAGTGCTCATTGACTTTCTCACAGAGTTAAAAGTATATACTTTGTAAAGCTTCTCTTCAGGCATCTGTTCCCGGACAGTCTGATAATTCTGCTTTAGATCCAAGACAAACCCCAGTAATCCACATTCTGTCTTGTTGCCAACCTGACGAGGTAGACCACCTTCCTTCTCGGGTGGCTAAGGAAAAAGAGGATTGAACTTCAGATGATTATTTCATCATATCCAGAAGCATACAGAGATTGCCTGACATCAGACTTCTTGATGTTGGCTAAATCCAATTATAGTCCTATCTAGAGTAAACCACTGGCATGAATGGGACTTGCTAGCCACACAATTAGGCTATCAGCCATCTGCCAACTTTATTTTGCAACTGCAGAAGCCTGAAATACTAACTGGAACACTGGTGAAGGAAGCACTGGCCACATAATTCCCTTCCATCCTGACTTTATTCATAATTAACAAAAAGCTGTTTTCTAGATGCGGGATTAAAGAAGAGAAAAGCAGACATCTTCCCACCCCACCCTTGTGGTAAAGGCTGTTCTGCAATTGTTTTCCCTTCTACTGGGGAAAAGACAGGGAAGAGAAGGATGCCAAGGTTAAACTACAAGGGAACATCCACTTATTTCACGATAAAGCTAATACAAAAATTATAGACTATAATAAGACTATGCTATGCCATGATACAAACATCCCATTTAAATACACAATTGCATATTACATAGAAATGGTTATGGCTAACTTATGCCCCGCCTACACTGCCAGATGTGCTTTGAACTGGATAATATGGCAGTATAGACTAAGGCTGGATCTACATTGTCATATAATCCAGATTATCAGATAATCCCATTATCTGCTTTGAACTGGAGTATTTGAGTCTACATAAAATCCAGTTCAAATCAGATAATCTTGATTTTATGTGGCAATGTAGATGGGGCCTAATATTATCCAAGTAGATAATCTGGATTTAATCTGGCAGTGTAGATGATATCCTAGTATAATTAAATGAGTTTAGTATAGTTGTCAGAAGGAAAGCTATGAACCAGTAGTTATCAATACAAATCCCACAGATTTGGGAAAAGCCACCATCTTTTAATCCAAATTATAAAATGGATAATGAGGAAGAGGAGGATGAAAGTGATAATAACAAGGACTACTGATACACTATATTAGATATATTTTTACTACCTAGGCGACATTGCCAGATGAAGCCATGATTTTGTTTTTTCTCTTTACCTGACCTTCCAAATATTCTAAATTAATGTAGTTTCCTCAGAGAGTTCAAATTTCTAGATAGTGTCTTAGTCTGCTGACACTAAGAGAACAATCTCACAGCCCCTGAAAGGCTTAATTTGGAGTATTTTTTCTTGTGAATCAGTGTCCATTTTATTAGACTCGTGATTTGACTACTGAGAATATCCAAATAAAAGCCAATTTAAAGGCAGTCTTAAAAAATGTGGCACAGGATGAAGTTGGTCCTGCCCAAGTACATAACGCCATCATAACAGATACTGTATTTTGAGAAAATGTAGAAGGAGAAGGCATACTTATACTTTTAGAATTTTCACTCTAATTCAACACCAAAACCAGATCTTTAGTCTAATGCTGCAAAATATCAGAACAGTGAGATGAGGAGCTTATGTTATTTTCCCCACTTTGAAGCCGTCTCTAACTATGATCAAAAGGCTAGGACTCTGATTACAATGCAAGATGGAGAAATGCTTACACATTTGACCAAGACTTTGGTTTCAAAACATATCTTTGAGAAGAGTTTTCCAGTTTAATAATTCAAAAGACAGAAGTAACATCGAGAGCAGAGTATTTGTAGTGGAATAATTAGCATTCTCCTCAAATTCTCAATATCCAACTATTCTTCAATTCACTCCTTATAATTTTTTTGAGTTTCACCTTACTTAGTACCTTTTCTCAAACTGTAATGCTCATCACACTTGCACATACATAAATATAGCTCTAAACAAGGAAACATGGCAGTTTTTAAGAGGTCTGCTAAACTAGTGATATGAGCTGCAGAACAACAATCTGATCACAGTGTTTATTAAACTTTAGCATATCATTTGTGAATTGACAATGCCGCTTCCTCTCTTGTAATTATTTAGCAAAAACAATCTGTCTGCCAAGTCAGCAATCTTCTGACACTTATTTTAGACTGCTACAAGTCTTTTAACTTTCAAAATTAAAATAAACACAGACATTTTACATTTTCACAATCTATATAAATAAAAATGAAATGTTCATTTGTGAGATTAACATAACTCAAAAACCACTAGACGAATTGACACCAAATTTGGACATAACACACCTATCATGCCAACAAGTGACCATTACTCATAAAGGCACTAAAAACACAGCAGAAGCAACTTAAAAAACAAAAAAGCAAAAAGACACTACAGCACATGCACAAAAACAAAACACACAATAGCATATACACACTCTCTTCTGGGCTACAGCTCCCAGCATCCCCTAAAACAGGCCCTTTAGGGGAAAAGGAGGATGATCCAAATGCACTGCTTCCAAGCTGCAAGCTTTCTTCTCCTTGGATTTCTTTGAGAGCATCCCAATCTCTGAATATTTCCAATTTTGTATTCCTGGACTGCAACTCCCAGCAATCCTCCAGATAGTTAGATTAGATAGAGATAGAGAGGGAGGTAGATAGATAGATAGATAGATAGATAGATAGATAGATAGATAGATCAATCAGGAGGACTGCTGGGACTTGCAGTCCAAGAATAGGGAGAGCAGGAAGAAAGGGTAGAAAGAGGAAGTGAAAGAAAAGTTGGGGGGATGAAAGGGAAGAAGAAGAGAAGGAAGGAAGGAAGGAAGGAAGGAAGGAGAGAAAGAAAGAAAAAAGGGAAGGACAGAAAGAGGGAGAGAAGGAAGGAGGGGAAAAAAGAATAAAAAGAGGGAGGGAAGGCTGGCCACAGCAACGTGTGGCAGGTACAGCTAGTCTCTATATAAGGTGGGATACCACATCCATTAGATTGCTTGGTTATTTATTACTGTAATATACTGATTTTGGTGATATATAATTGTTTATGCAATATATCATAGCAGAAACTAATGATATACAAGTGTTTCCATCTCAGTTTCCACCCTCCCAGAATGTTTTATTCACTAATGTCTGCATAAATTCCAGATTAATTTATATGTATGTATGTGTATATATAGAGAGAGGGGGGGGGGGAGAACTACTTGCAACAAAAGACTTTAAAATTTGATACATCTCACCACGATGGAGAAAAACTGTCAGTGGGCAACATAAAAACCCAAAGTGGCGATGTTACAATGACTATATAAAGGGCCTTTGAATACTAACTCCATCAATCTACCTGAGAAAGCATATTTTGATCCACTAATTTTACCTTTTCTTCCCCATCTTTTTATTCAAGACCCTTGCTCTTTCTCTTCTTAGCATTTTATTCTTTGAAATGGACTAGACAGCTCCTCAAAGAGAGGTTGATCATTTTATAATAGGACCCATGGCTATTCTCTCGGTCTTGGATTACAAGTTTGTACTGCATGGTTTTTAAATAATTGTTTTAATGTTTAATGTTAAGTGTATTTTTAGTTTCTTGTTTTAATATATATGTTTATTTTTCTGTATGTATATTCTACGGCATTGAATTGTTGCCTTCCTGTGAGACTGCCGTAAGTCCCCTTTGGGGTGAGAAGGGCGGTATACAAATGAAATAAATAAATAAATAAATAGAAAGAATGGATATATCTGCAAGACTTATTGTAATCAATTCAATTGTGTTTCTGAATTTGTTGCTATTATCTGCCATCAGGACAACTTGAACTTATGGCAACCCGATGAATGATCTTCAAGAAGCTCAAGTCCTGCACCCGAAAGATGCGGTTCTTTTATAGAATCAACACAACTGTAAAATATCTTCATCTTTTCAAACTGCCTTCCACTCTTCCCAACATTATCATTTTTTTCCAATGGATCATTATATGTCTGAAGTTTGATAATCTAGTTTAGTCATTTGGTTTCCATAGGAAGTTTGGGCTTGATTTGCTCTAGGACACATGATTTTGTTTTCTGACAGCCCATAATATTCCCTGTAGTCTGCTTCTGAGGGCACCATATTTCAAATGAATTGGTTTTCTTCCTGTTGACTTTCATTGACCATAACTGCTTGCTTTCATTGTCATAGCAGTGCAACAAAGATGGATCTGATATTACTGGTGTGGTGTAACCCCCTCTCCCCCAGTTTTAGTATAAACTTTAACAAGAACCAAAAAAGATACTGAGTTCTAGGTTCTTGTGAGTTTTTTCAGGCTATAGAGCCATGTTCTAGAGGCATTTCTCCTAAATGAATGAGTTCTGTATCGGTTTAAGCTGGTACTGGACCACCGCTACGTGTGAGACGTAGATGCATCAGATGGGCTAAGCTAAACCAAGGTAAATCAGAAAATTCTGTTGCATTTCTCAGAACCTGCCTCCACTTTCCCTGCGAAGGCATGTGCATGAACAATCTCTATAAATAAATTGATGCAGGCAAAAGAGACAAACTGGGAGAAAACCAGAGTTTTCCTTCTCATATGTTCTCTAAAGTGCAAATAAACAAAAATATGGATTGGGGTGTCTGCATGGAAAAAGGTATTAAACTATCTTAAACAAAATATCTGGTTTTCTTCCAAAATAAAAGTGTATACCTGTGCTAGTTTGGCTGAATCAGAATCAGATTTGCGATGTATGGATATCTGCTTTTTGCTGTACCTGTTATTGCATTAAATTTCTCTTCAAGATTTTGCTCTTTCTTTGGTGTATATCTATGAGGCTGCTAAAGCTCAACAGAGATGTTAAATACAATTCCACATTGAACAAAATATGCAGTTTGTTCCTCCAAAAACAATGTTTTAGAAGCAGATTGTGGTTTTTGACATGATTTAAATTTAATTTTAACTGGTCATGTACTAGGAATTTTGATCATGACTGTGATAAGATTTTAAAATTTTCCCAGTTCATGTATAAAAATAACAGCAACAGAAAAAGGCAACATGCAACAATTTCTTGCTTTTAAGGCCTGACCATTAAAATGAAAAGGAAATAATATAATTAGCTTTCCATCATTTTCTTTTGAAAATCAAGTCAACATACTTCCTCATTTCTGGTAAAGGCTATTACATTAATGAAAGGCCTTTGCTAAGGGAGC